CCATGTTTCACTTTATCAAAATCTTTATTGTAGTCTATGAAGCAGATGTATCAATAAGACTATATTTGTTGAATCAAGCTTTATTTTATTAATACAATTTTATAGTCACTTGACAAACTTCAATACTTTGTTATATCAATACTATGACTACTTGCGTTCCTATACCTGTACCTGTACTATCAGGTGTATATGAATAGGTACGCAACATTCGCACGTAGGCCTAACTTTAATTATATTATACATCTCCCCTCTTTAAATGAAAACTATAAATCCAGTATTTTTGGTTTCTTAATAACTCGACCTGAAACCTTGGATTTCAGAACAGGTAAATTCAAAGTGGATTCGTTGCTAGAACTAGATTGAACATTGTTGAAAGGGCTACTTATTTTTGAAGGAGATTTCTCAGGCATAGAATGCTTATTTGCTACTCTAGGAGATGAATAATTAGATACACTAGGAGATGAGTCATTATGTGATGTGCTAGGTGTCTGCACATTTCCATTGCTAAGCATGTTAAAATCTTTGTTTATGATAGGATTATATTCATTTAATGACTCTCTCAGATCAAATCTATTCCTAATGACAAGATTACCATTTTCATCCAAAACCTTATAGGACCTAGGATTTTCAGACAACTGTATAATTTTACCTGGTTTCCATGTCTTGTCAATATGATTGAAAACTGTAACATTTTGATTCGGTTTCAAAGGTTTTAGATCAGTGGCATTTTTGTTATAATATTTTATATTATTCTCTTGTCTTAATTGAAGCTTTTCTTTTACATTATTACATAGAGTTGGTTTCAAAAGATCTGCTGATACAGGAAGTTTTGTTCGACAAATACGGCTCATTAACAGTTGGGCAGGAGAATACTCCAAGTATTTAAGAGGGGAATTTCGATACTGCATTAGGGAATCAAATATGTCTTTGCCCTCCTCTAAAGATTTTTTCAGCAATTTTTTTCCAATATCTACTGCTTTTTCAGCCAAACCATTTGACTTTGGATAATTGGGACTTCGAAAAACAACATTAAAATTCCACTCTTTAGCAAATTCTTTGAAAATATAACTATTGAAGGGTACATTATCACATACTAATATGTCAGGGGACCCAAATTTGGAAAAAATAATTTTTAATTTTTGAATTACCTCATGAGCAGATTTATTTTTAATTGATACTAGCTCAAGCCAATTTGAGTAAGCATCCATTGTCACTAAATAAGAATTGTTACCATAAGAAAAAATATCAGCTCCAATGCGTTCCCAGGGGCGCTCAGGAATAGAATAAGATTTAAGTATTTGTTTTGCATTTTTACGCGCATATTTTTCACATATTTTGCATTTTTTTGTGAAAAATTCAATTTCTTGATTCATGAGAGGCCAGTAGAAAATTTGTCTTGCTCGGGCTTTGACTTTCTCTATCCCCAAGTGTCCTTCATGTAGCTTAATTAACATGTCCTTCCTAAGACTTTTAGGAACAACTAATTTATGATTAAAAAACAATAATCCATCAGACACTGATAATTCTGCTCTAAGTTTATAAAAATGACGCACAGACGATAGAATTTAGGCTTTTTTAGAAGGCCATCCAATGTTGAGATAATTAATAATAGTTTGCATCTGTTCATCATTTTTTGTAACTTCTTTAAATAAAATCTTTTTTTCTTCAGACATAGGCAAATAATTTGAAAAAGAATGAACATAGTGTAACTCCTGGTCAATGTTTTCTGATGTCTCAGTATTAGTCAAATAGGCGCGCGACAATGTGTCTGCGATGAATAAATATTTCCCAGGTTTGTAAGTAACTTTCAAGACATAGTTAAGAAGTTGAAGTAGCATGCGTTGCAATCTAGGTGAAACAGTTGGCAAGCTTTTTTTAAAAATAGACTATAATGGTTTATGATCTGAACACACTTTAATATTTTTAACACCAAAAATAAAGTAATGAAATTTTTTGCAGCTAAATAAAATTGCCAATAGTTCTTTTTCTATTTGAGCATAGTTGGTTTCACTTTTCGTCATACTTCGTGATGCGAAAGCTATTGGGTGCCCATTTTGAAGTAAACAAGACCCAATGCCATCCTTTGATGAGTCAGTTTCAATTTCAATTGGTAATAATGGGTTGAAAAATGCTAAAACTGGCGCGGTTGTTAATAAATGTTGTAAGTTTGATAATGATTTGTCATGTTCATTGGTCCAAGTCCAGTCAACGTCTTGTCAAATTTCGAAGGGGGGCAGTTACTTTGGACATGTTTGGGACAAACTTGCCCAAAAATTTTCCCATGCCTAACAACCTCAAAAGATCAGTTTTACTTTGCGGTTTGGGCATATCTGTGATAGCATTAATATAGGACTGACATGGTTTAACACCATCCTTAGAAAAAACCTGACCAAGATACTTCACTTCTTCTGACTTAAACTGAATTTTTGACATGTTAAATTTTATGTTAAATTTTGATGCTCTATCTAAAACGTTTTTCAAAATTTTGTCATGTTCCAACTCTGTCTCCCCAGCAATTATCAAATCATCAAAATATATCTGCACTCCCTCAATATCCCCAAACAGTTCAAAATTCTTTCGCTGAAACACTTCAGGGGCAGAACTAATACCAAATGGAAGTCGACAAAATTGGTAACGACCGAAAGGTGTGCCAAAAGTACAATAGTCAGATGATTGATCATCAATTTTGACTTGAAAGTAGCCATCTTTCATATCTAGTACAGAAAAAATGACTTTACGAGTCAGTTTACTAGCAATTTCGTCGGCTGTTGGAATTAAAAAATGCTCACGCTGTATGTATTGATTCAAAAACTTTGGGTCCAGACACAACCTCAAATCACCATTTTTTTTCTCAACAATAACCAAAGGATTTAACCACTCAGTAGGTTTTTTAACTTTCCTTATAATCCCTTGAGCTTCAAGATTTTTTAATTTTTGTTTCACACGCTGGTGAAGTGCTTGAGGTATACGCCTGACTGCCTGAATATGTGGTATATAACCTTGTTTCAAAATGATCTTATGCTCATTTGGAAAACAGCCTAATCCATTAAAAACTTGAGGATACATTTTCACAATATCCTGTTTATTGTCAAAATGTAAACTACAATTATCAATTCTCCTAATTAAGTCTAAAGCTAAACATCCTTTCAATCCTAACAAAGGCAACTGATTTCTACTATCAACCACAACAAAAGACAAGCAAGCGAATTTATCCCTAATTTCACAATTTAAATAAATTTCTCCAAGTGGTTTAATTTTAAAATCTGGGCTGCCATAAGAAATTAAAGTCATATTAGACTTTTTTAATTTAAAATGCCTGTTAATTTTTTCTAAATTTCTAAGAGGAATCACGCTCACCTCCGCTCCAGTATCAAGTTTAAACTCAATCAATTTACCTTCAACTTTTATCTGATTGCACCACATAACTTCACTGTTGGACTGAATACCATCAACCCTTTTCACTAGGGAACTTACATAAAAATCATCGCCTTCACTGCTCTCACTTTCATCTTCAGAATTGTCCTCCGCTTTCACTTCACTTACCCTTTTTCCTTTCTTGTTACCATAGCTTCCATAAGCCTCTTTTCCATGCTCCTTTCTCCAACACACACTAGCAAAATGATTTTTGCCGTTACATTCCCCGCAGACTTTCCCAAAAGCAGGGCATTTTCCTTTATTATGATTATAGCCACAATAATCACACTTTTTCCTCTCCAGACTATTGGGCACTTTATTTCTTTCCAACTTTTTTTGGGTCTTGACAGCGCTCACAAAAGCTTCTGATTGCAGAGCCTTTGCTTGAGATTTGCTTGCCTCAGTGGCCCTACAAAAATGTATAGCTTTCTGCAAAGTAAGGTCCTTCTCACGAAGAAGCCTTTCCTGGATAGATTTATCAAGAATTCCTATTACTATGCGGTCCCTTACCATTTCTAGTGGTTCAGAATACTCCGTAGTTTTAACAGCAATTTTGAGGTCTGTCACAAAACTGTCAAAACTTTGGCCCTCTTTTTGTACCATAGAATTGAAAACAAACCTCTCATAAATAACATTTTTCTGGGGGGCACAGTGCTCCATAAACTTCTTCTTAATTTCCTTTAGGGACTTCTTCTCCTCGTCTGTCAAAGTAAACGAGTTGTAGATATCTAATCCTTCCTCGCCAATGAGGCTCAAAAATACAGCAATTTGCTTTTTCACGTCTTTAGTATCCAAATCCGTAGCAGTCATGAACAAATCGAATCTTTGTTCAAATTTTTTCCAGTTATCCGCTAGATTACCTTGAATGCTTAAGGGTTCTGGCGGTTTAAACATAGACTCCATGGTTCTCCGGGGTTCAAAACTTCTTTTACAGGGCTTGATCTAATCTACCTGACACCATGTATCAATAAGACTATATTTGTTGAATCAAGCTTTATTTTATTAATACAATTTTATAGTCACTTGACAAACTTCAATACTTTGTTATATCAATACTATGACTACTTGCGTTCCTATACCTGTACCTGTACTATCAGGTGTATATGAATAGGTACGCAACATTCGCACGTAGGCCTAACTTTAATTATATTATACAGCAGATATAGAGGTCCTGGTCAACATCCAAACATCTTTGAGTCAACACGTTGAAAGAAAATAATGCTTCTCTTGTACCCACCCCATTTCAAAAACCAAATTGAGTGTCACTGATATCCAATTTTAGCTTGTGATGAATTCTGCTGTACATAATTTTTAGGAGAATTTTTAACGTATGTGACATTCAGCTTATAGTTCTATGATCACTGCATTCTTTGGCATTGACTTTTTTCGGTAGACATATAAATGTTAATGTAAGCATTTCTTGTGGGATGATTCCTGTATTGTAGATTGTGTTAAACAGCTCCACCAAAAAATCTATGTTTTTTTGGTTGATCAACTTGAGCAACTCGCTTGGTATTCCATCTGGACCTGCAGATTTCTTATTCTTCATAGATTTAAGTGCATGTTCAACCTCTGATTTAGTTATTTCAGGTCCTATGTCTCCACCTTGATAGTCTGCAGCCATGTTTTCCTGTCTCTGCATGAAATAATTCCTCTATGTATTCTTCCCATCTTCTCAATTTTTTTTCAGTCTCCATTATGATATTTCCTTCTTTATCCAAAAGTATGTTTGAGTTTTTTTTCTTTTCAAATCCCGCTAGTTCCTTGACTTTTTTGTGTAAGTTGAAGTTGTCATATCTGTTTCGTAACTCTTCTATCTCATTATATCTTTCAGAGAAATAAGTTTCTTTTGCTTCTCTTATTTTTATTCTTATTTTACTTTGCAATTTTTTGTAGCAGGTGTTGTTTTTTGCTTTGTACTTCCTTCTTTCATTCATTAATTTTAATATTTCGTCTGTCATCCAATCTTCTTTTTTATCTTTGTTTGTCCTAAATTCTTTTTCACTGGGTCCTAAAAGTGATGTTTTAATGAGTTGCCATTGTTGTTCTTGGTTTTCTTTATTTTGTTGAGATTGGGAGACATTTCTTTCTAAAATTTCATCGATTTCTTGTCTGAGTTTATCTCTGATTTTTTCTGATTTAGGTTTCTCTATGTTTAGTTTATCGATTTTGTGACTGGTTTGCATCTTTTTCAGTTGTAGTTTAAACTAGCAATAAGAGGATTATGATCAGAAAATACGTCCGCACCTGGGTAAGCCTTTACTGATTACTGATTGCATTACGTTTCGGTATCTTTGCTTTATTAAGATGTAATCGATTTGATTTCTAACGAATAATTTGCTAAGCTATAATGTAGCTGAAGACTTGAGACCTCTAAGGCTCAGTTTCACAATCGGTGGTAACCTGCACTGGTTATCAAACTAATTTCACAGAATAACTGAACGTTAACTCCTGGAATTACAATGAGAAATAACGTCATTCCAGAAGTTAACTTTTACCCAACAAACACAAGTACGTCTTTAGTACGTCCATAATTCGTACTTTTTTGGACAAAAGTACGTCCGCGGACGTACTTTTTAGGTCCCGCCGACGTACGAGGGACGTCTTTATGACGGTCGTTTTCCACAAAATAGTGCGTCCCACGTACGTACATTTAGGTACGTACTCAGTACGGCTTTTTAGGTACGTATTTGAGACGTACATTAACGTACGTATTTAGTATAGCTTTTTAGGAATGTGTTTGGGATGTAGGTACAGGGTTTTCCCATATATTTTTACACCCCACCGGCACTGGTTGATTGGATAGGTAGGTTTCAAAAAGATGTGAATACAAATGTTGTATTCATACCTTTTTGATAGGTACCTATTCAGTTAACCTGTTCAGATGGGTTGCAAAAATATATGGCAAACATAAACATCACACATGTATTTATATGTATGTTTATAGCGAAAAATAAAACAATTATCCCTCCACAATCCGATGTCCACAGGTAGGTACAGGTAAAATCACATTTCAATGCTATTTGATAGGGAAAGGTGATAAATTTACCTGAACCTGTGGACATCGGATTGTGAACAGGATATACATATTGTATTTTAAAGTGGCAATTTTTATACAATAAATATCTTAACAATTACATTAAAAAACTAAAAAATATGAATAACATAAGATCAATTATAAAATATAACATACCCTTAAACTTAACCTTAACCTTAAACAACAGTAAATATAAAAAAAAATAGGTAGGTATAACCTACAAACATTGAGAGAATTGTAAACGGGCACAAATCAAGAAAAGTTTCACACAGTAAAAATCTTGATAAAAGTATTATTATTATACACAAAAAACAAAGCTAAACACGTTGCTGGCGTTACTGCAATCAAAACAAAATGGTTCCCGCGTCACTTTACTTGGTAAAAAAAAAAAATAGAAGAAAACAACGACCTCACACCACACTACAAACGAGCTACACGCTACACATACAAGACCAAAAAGGCAAAATCAGACAGGAGCAACCACAGCCTCAACTCAAAGGAGGCAAACGGTGTTGCCAGCTCAATCCATTTCTAGCTGGGAAACGACAAAACCACCAACCAAATAAATTTTTAATTTTCAACTAAAAATTTTAAAAATATGCATTGAAATTGAAGTTTCAATAAATTATAGTAGATTTAGCTTGTGATTATCGATTATTGAATCGTAGTCAAAATTATAGATTTCGATAATTATCGGGTCATTGGCAACACTGCACCCTGCCGATGCAAGTGGCCGGCGCGGCGTCCCTTCCTGTTTTCCATTCTATTGGTTTATTTCATGTTTATTTCAACATTTGACAATTTATTAGGGTCACAGGTCAGGTACCTAGATGAAATATAAATCCTTGATTATATGACCTGCCTTATTTAAGTTTAATAATAAGAATTTTCCATGTCAACCTGACCGGCATTTTTGGGTTTAGGGTTTAGAGATTAATTTGGAAGGATCACTTCCATATCTTTTCCTTGGAAATTGCATATTATTAAAAAATATATTATTATCAGAAATCGAGTCAGCAATTAATAAAAAAATCATGAATAGATGGGAATGATCCAGCTCGTCCTGTATTGTTCGTCTTTGAAACGAACATGTACGTCTTTTACAAGACGTACACAATATAGATTTTCACGTACGTTCTTAGTACGTACTTTTTTGTCTGTATATCAATACAACCTTTTACGTACGTACTCAAAACGTATTTTTACATCCCCGACGAACCGACGTAAAACGGACCTAAAATGTACGTCTTCAGTACGTACTGTGTTTGTTGGGTAGTTATTCTGTCAAAATAGTTGCGGGTTAACCACAAGTTCGCATAATGAGGATTGACCAATGTTTTTGGCTCAACAACACATTATGAAACAGATATATTGTGGATTACCAGTATCTTGTGGATATTGCTGGGCTACCGCTGTGTCTGAAACTGACCCTAAGATACAAAATACTTGGAAGGAAATTCTAAGTCTAAAACCTGAGAAGAAGTGACATCAGAACTGACAGAGGCAACTCTTCGGATCAGAACCCCAGCTGAAGAAAAATCTAAAATGACAGAAATCCCAAAGAATTAACAATTCTGTCAGAACAGATATTTCTTACAAAAAAAGCTTGTTCGTCTATGAACTATGAATTACATAAAAATTTGACTTTCCTACACTTTTTGGATGTATTCAGATAGGCGGGCCTTAATCCATCAGAGATAAATCTTAAACCTACCCAAATCAACTATTGAATAATAGATAGGCTATAGCAGCTATAGGAATTTTTCTATATGGGTGTTAATATGAACGACCATAGGAAACTAAATAAAACCCGAATATTATTATTATAAATAATGTTTTATTTAAGAGATTCAAAACTCAACTAACTGGTTGAAATATACTATTTGGCAGCCCAAGGAACGGATAAGGAAAAAAACTAATAATAATAAAGCACAGAAATTTGTGTATATGAAGCGTTCACAGGTTGACAACCTAATAAATAAGAATTTATCTTCATACATAACAGGAATAATCCTAGGATAATGTAGATTACTTATTCCTTTAGGCAGTATCTACCAATGAAGGACAAGGAAGACTACGTCTGAACATACTTATCACACATTAATAGATGAGTTATTCAACACACAAATAAAAATTCCCTGTTACTTTGTCCTTTGAACAAATTATTCGAATCATTTGAAGGAGATGATACAATATGATAAGTCACAGTCAACTGACACTAGTCGAAGCCTTGTGAAGAGCAGAAGTGAGCAAAACAAAAAGCATCAATAGTAAAACCTGCTACCAAAATACCCCTCTAACCCACAATTTTGTATCGGCAAATACTTCACTCGGAAGTAAACGCCTATACATCAGTTCTTGGACTAGTTGAACCTCATTTGAACAAAGTATTGACCATTGCTGTTTTTAAAGCTCTATACAAGTAAATAACAATAACAAATCCTGAAACTTCACTATGAAAAAAACAAAAGGAAGTCTTGCCCAAAGAACAAAATATATAATTTTCTAAAAGTTACATTCTATTTTAAATCCATACTTGTCTTAGATGATTAGTGGTTTCTGCTCTGGGAACTTGTTAAGTGTCTGAAAATTTATTTTTGAAGATAGTGTTCCGAACAAAACACACAAAGAAAAAAAAACAATTTGAAAACTTTTCGCACTACCTACTTTGTTCTTGATGATGGCGAAACAGATGCTCGGCTATGTTAAATTTAATCTTGATGTTTAGACACTTTCACGCTTACTTTTTATTTACTTTAATAAAAGTAAGTTTGTTATTTTTAATGTCTGATCTATAAAGATACGGATTTTACGCCCACTAAAATGAATTTCCAAACGGTAGAAATTACATCAGTCGAGGCCGGCCCCATAAAATCCAACTTCGCATGGCAATTTTTAGCGGTAATATATCACGTTACCTAATTTCACAGTCACAGTCCTCGAATTTCGCCCCAGACGTTATAATTCTCCATCGTCAAGCATCTTTTGACATTTTCGTTTCGTGCCTCTCGAATAAATCAAAAGTTTGTTTCTTTTAATGCAGAATTATGTCCCAGGGGCCGAATTCAAATTATTATTATTAATCTCTTCTTCAATTAAATTTTGCCATAAATTCAACACGACTTTAATTTGAAGTAGGTCATCCTAAAACAAATTAACAAGGGCTTTATGTGTATTATCTGGAAAGATCTTGATGTTTACCCTCGGGGGTAACCCAGGGATAATCCTCTATAGTTGGCCATTCTATAACCGCCATGTATACTTTGGGATTTTTGATCTTGTGTTAACTATTTTGGCTTGAACGGTTTTGGGCTCCATATAATATTAAATTTTGTGAAAGTGAAGCAATAACAATTTTGCGTGAAGTTTTATAGAAGGTGCAGAGGTTGGGTTGAAAAGTTTTTACATAGAAGTTATTGTTATGTTAACTATAATTTTTGATGAGGACTCTTGCACTAGAAGCGGTTTTCTTCCAATGAATTGTAATGGATTTATAAATTGTATTTTCTTTTTAGAAAAATAGGAAACTAACAATAAAGTCTGTACCTATATCAAAATGAAGTTTCCAGACATTGAACAGCACTAAACAACCATTAAGCTCTACAAACTTTCGAAGTAAGGGAGCTTTAAAGTAACCTCATAAAATGTGCTATAAATAAGCTATTAGACAAACTTGGTTTTATCATCCCATTGATCCTGGAGCAACAATCCCAGTAAAATGAAAAAGACAAACTTTATCTCCACAATGTTCCAAATTATTACCCACTAACCCTAAAATTTTCTATAACTCTCATTCCTAAAATTGCTCTGTCACCCTCGCCCTTTAAAATCCAATTCTAAAACGGTCCTACTTTCTAATTACAATCCTAAACATGCCACTGTTGCAGGTATAAATAACTTAGGTCTCCCTAAATAGTACATCTCACCCTCAAAATACCTTTAATTTAGCCATTCAAATTCATTTAGAGCAAACCGAAACTGGCTTTTAAATGAGAGCGTTGCACATCACAGGAGCTCTATCTCTGACACGTGCAAGACAAAGATGCTGTTAATTCGAGGGCATATGCTACTGTGCTCAAACGGAACA